CTATACTCCGCGGTCGAAATTATAGAGAGTGACTCATCGCTAGCTTTTGGACTAGTAAGGGGGATGAAGCGTGCCGGGAACGAAAATCCATTGGCGTGTCTGCGTAAAAGGCAACAAGATATAGAAAATAATGAAAAAAGATAATAAAACATAACATCTAATATTTTTTACGGTTTGCTATAACAGGCACTTTGATCCATTTTAATTATTACAGCATTTTAAAACGTCCCAATTGTGTTTTTTTAATTTATAAATTTATTATAGACCCCTCGTCTACGCTTATGCTATGACGTTTCTCAGGACTCGTAAATCAAATCCGTTTACACCCAACTAAAAAAGCATTTCCCTATTCCCTACCAAGTGCAAAGGACAGAGATAGAATATAGATCGACGTTCAGTGTAACTCGGTCTCGGCACAAAGATAAATAATATTGAACTGTATAAAAATCATTTTATATTTTATACGCATTATGGTAATAGTGTATTTATATTATGTCTTAGTCACTCTTTATAATTTCGACCGCGGAGTATAGGTTAACTTTTTTCAGAATCGTGTTTCTTGAAAATGGAGGTGGGATCCTGTTCGAATTACGCTATAAAGTGGGCCTTTAACAAGAAGGAGGGTCGTTGTACGCGATTTTGGTACGGAGGTTGTAATGGAAATGATAACAGGTTTGACTCTGAGGACAGTTGCAAACAAATTTGCATAAACCCTCCCGGTAAAGGTAAGCATGTAGTAAAGTCTAAAGTTTTTTGTTGGAAATAATGTTTCTTTCTGCATTCTCTGGAAATGTTAAAATTGACCCAAGTGTTTTATTTGTATTTCAGATCGATGCAAACTACCTAAAATACAAGGGTCCTGTCAAGATAAACACACGCGCTGGTATTATAATAAAAATAAAAAGGAATGTAAAAAATTTGTGTACAATGGTTGCTTTGGTAATGATAACAATTTTGTGTCTTCAGGTGAATGCAAAAAATTTTGTGCCTAAAATTAATATATCTATTGTATTTGTTAAATAAAAAAAAACATGTAGGTATAGGTAAATTTAAGTAGGTACGTATTTATTTTACTTCATTTTAAGTAAATAAATAAATGCAGTTTTTGTTATTAGCTCTTTTTTTACTTTAAACGTACTAAACTAATTCAAATTAATTCTAAAAATTTTCAAAGGTTTCATCAAATGCAACAATTCACAATGTCCCAACTTTACTTGTACCTGGAAGACGCAGATTTTTGGAATTAAATAAAACAAGAATAAATTAGGTTTCAAGCTGGAAAAAACATCCTGTTTTTTCCGGTAACTTTAAAACGCTTTATCCAATTTAAATCAAATTTAGTATTCTCCATACACACCATATCTGCTACTTCTTGATCAGAAAACATTTTATACCGCGGCTGCAACACACAACTAAAGAACACAAGCCATACTGACTACTGACCTACCATCAGACTTGCTTGATTATGGAAGTCACGAGGAACGTCAGCCAATTAGAGAAGCGAGTCTGAAGCATTCTGGCTGTGCACGTGCACAAGTTGTATAGGATCGACTTACATTTATAGTTAATTTTCTTGAAAACGGAAGCATTTAGATCATCAGTTGCTTAATAAAAGTTGCTCGTTTCCGTGCCCTCTTTCACCCTCTTCAAGGAACGCACTTATTTCAGAAACAGCAGTGTATGGAGCACCTTAAATTAGATGAATTCGATGAGAAATTTGTAGAATGAGGAAAATCTGAAATGAATCTTTCATGAATATGTATACAAGATATAGTGGTTTGGTCTTCAAGTGAGGAGAAAAACTCTAAGTAGCATAGAAAACTTGATTCTACTAATTTCGCTGGTAACACGAGACACAACCGAGCAGGAACTAGGCTTCAAGACTTCTCCTTGGTGCCTCGAAATGTTTTTCGGTTTTTATCCTTGTCCCCAGGTACCTACTTACTTTTATTACCCTATCCTAATTAATCCATTTATCCAGGTCATTGCCTACTCGGTTTGTGCTTATGTACCCTAATAAACAATAACTAATTTATGTTTGCAGCCTACTTATTCTAATCTCATTTGTCATTACATTTATTTGGGATAATCTCGGATAATTCAAAGTATAATTTATATGGCTCGTAAATTTCCAGAAAGCAAGATATATTTATTGGGGCAGGTACTTTAATGTAATTGTAGCGTACCGCTACAAGGACTTAGGGACAGAGATTTTTTATCAAAAAGTGGCATAGAGGTAAGTTTAGTTAAATAGTCTTATTTTAACTCCATGAATATGTGGTAGGAAAACTGTGGAACTATATTTAGAATATGCGGACACCCTCTATAAATTATTTGTTCTGGGTTAGAACTTAAGTTTTAGTGCTATATTACAAATAAATAAAAAGCTGTATAAACACAACACGAGTTGAACAACAAGAGTTTGTTTAAAAAAATATTAAGGTAGGTTTCCATTTTAGAATCGAAAAATCGTTAAGTTTATTAATATATATTTATAAATATTATTAAACAGTTTGTATTACATTTGCTTCTATTTTTTTAATATAATTTCAACCCAATCCGCAACTGGTAAGGGAGGCGCATGCAGCATCTCCAACTCCCAATTTTTTCACGCCAGCCGAGGGTGGCAAATGTGCACCAGCCGGCCTAAAACCATCCTTTCCGGCAGTATAATCTACTCTGTATTCTTTCCCATCATCTCCGATATAACTGTAAGATCCTTGAACCTCGATTCCTTCGTCTTCTTCTCTGCCAGTTTCCGACCTCAGTTCCCCTTTAGCTTCATGATGGAATTTGTCACTAGTGTCTACGCTATAAAAATTAAGAGAAACAATATATACAGCTTATAAAACCATTTAATGTATATTGCATAAGCAAGTATTTTTTCAGTGCTAATTTGTGTAGCCAGAAAAATAGAAATAAATCAAAAATGAATGGATGTATACGATCCCTATCAAATAAATTTATTATAAGTTTAAAACTCCGAAGGGAAAAACTCTTAAATCTCCTAAATTTTTCTTTTGAGATCAGAAATTTTTCTATGGGGATTGTTCCGCAAGGACTATTTCATGTGGTGTAATAATGTTTCAATGACGTTTAGGTCGGCGCTGCTTAGCGGTTAGCTCAAGACATTTTTTTTGTATAGCCATATTACAGATGATGCATCGTATTAATAAAAAGTGAAATTTCTATATTAATATTGCCGATAATACTTCCTACTCCCTTTGCCGACACGTATCTCAATGTCATGACTTCTAGGAATTTTATTTTATGTTTTAAACACTCCTTATTCTTCCCCAATCCCCAACACACACGTTAAGCTTGGCCTCTAAACTATAAATTACTTGAAACCAGTCATCACTTGTTAAAGTAGCTTTCGATTCAGCCTCAAGCTAAACGGTTGATCTTCTGGGACTCCTAGTCCAACCGAATTACACTTGGAGAAAAAAAATGTTACCTGGACTTTTATAAGTGGAAATGGTAAAAGGGCTTATAATAAACCTAAAAAAAATAAATGCGTGAGCAGGGGCGGCGAAGGGTTGATTTGGGGGGTTGAAAAGTTATGAAAAATTGTATCATTGGGATTTCTGGGGAAAGTTGACGTCAAACAAAAAAGTATCTGATACAAAAGTTCTAGATCATGCAAAAATTTATAACTTTTGTAGAGGTCACTTTTTAATATAACCTCAAAATTTCCGAGAAAAATGCGAAAAACTGTTTTTTCCTGATTTTTCATTTTTTATTTCTCATTTCCGCAAAAATAATTTAATTTTGACGAAACTTGGTGAAAGTCTACCTTCCTCTGTCATAAAGGACCTCAATTTTTTTTAGATAAAAAAATCAAGTAAACTTTGCAGTTAATACTTTATATTGTTGAAATCTCAAATCATCTTGAGATAATTTATCATTTGTGCATTTATAATTCGACTTAGATGTTTATAGCAATACTGTACAAAAATAAAGTTTTGGGTCAAACAATGAGACAGTTTTATTTCTTTGTTTTTTCCGTAGAATTGAATATTGTAATCAGTTTTTGAATGTTTTTTTAATTTAAACAAATTATCAACAATAACTGAAAAATTTATTGTTGCAAGTCATTATTTACTTTTTTGCATTTTAAGCATGTTTTTGAGCTGTGATTACAATTTTTTTTATTTCACCAAAAAGTATATGTCAAAACGAAAAAAATGGCAGAATTCTGTACGATTATTTTTTAAGTAGAATTTTTCTTTGAAAAAAAAGTGTTTCAGGCCGAAAAAAATGAGTATCTCAGAAACTTCTTGATTTTTTTATCTAAAACAATTTGAGATTATTTAAGATAGAGAAAGGTATACTTTCACCAAGTTTCGTCAAAATTAAATTATTTTTGCGGAAATGAGAAATAAAAAACGAAAAATCAGAAAAAAAATCAAACATTGGTCTTAAGGTGCTAACTACGATAGTAAATTTGAAATAGAAATGTTCAGGCATTTTGGAATTATTGCAGACAATGTTTAATTTTACAGAAACTTTGGCGCCCTCTAGAAGTCTGTCAGCGGTTTTTTAATCATCCTGTATATTCATTTACGTATTTTGTCTGAAAAATTATTTCCAATTAGTATTTTGAATACTAAATCATACAGAAGAAAATACGACACAGAATAATCTCTTATAATCATCGACTGAGTCCACCATAATATAAAAATTTAGCAGAAATTGCTGTTATATTTTACTCACCTAAACGAAAATCCCCTGAGGAAATTCTGGAAGTTATATTTTAATACTTGCGGCACTGTTTTGGTGAATAAACCAAACTGCGGTTGGGGTCGGCATTCTATACTTGCTAAGATGGCACATATGAACAGTAATATAATCTAAAATAAAATACAATTCAGTATTTAACAATTAAATTAAAATGCCATGTTAAAACTATATACAGAGCTTTCATAAATCCTGTAACGTGGTCGCCCAAATTAGGCAAACATAATTACACGGTTGGTACTGTCAACAAACAATCCCTAAATCTTAGCGTTACTAATATTAATGATTCGTTTGCAATGAACAATGACAAACCGTTATGAGATAATATGATCGCTTATTGGTTGAATAAAATCTCGTCGGTGACACGAAATGTGGTGTTTTAATGAATCTCCATCGTATTGGTTTAATAATTTTTAATTTCACCAAAATTTAATTGCCAACGTGAAGGAAATAAATTTATTGTTAAAAACAAAATATTACTGATCACGTGGCTTGTATTTATTTATTAAAGCTCTGTATTAGAGTGGCCCAAAAAATCGATTTTTTTTTCGTGCCTTGTGAAAATATGTTAGTTTATCATGTTTTAAGAGCCCCTCAAAAAATCAGCTCGCAGGTCACTCAGGATTTTTAAAAATTTCCAAAATCGTCAAAAGTTAAATTTTAAAAATTTTAAAAAAATTATAAATATTTGATACAGTGCGGTAGTAAATTTTACCTCCAGAAATTTTTTAAGTGTCTCGTAATTTATTTCTATTCTTTTGTTCATCAAATTCAATAAAAAAAATATTAGTTGGTTGACATTTATTTTTAGAGGTCGCTCGGAAACATTTTAGGTACACTACTTTTAAAGTTAAAATAATTATGAGTGACCTTTAGAAATTAAAATATCGATTTGAAATTTTCAGAATTGAGATTTCATTCAACCCAGAAAATGATAAAATAACGAGAAAAAAAATTAAAAAAAGAAAAAATTCAATTTTTGACGATTTTGTAAATTTTTAAAAACCTTGAACGACCTCAAAAAAAAATTTTTTGAGCTGATTTGTTGAGGGGGCTCTTAAAACATGATAAACTAACATATTTTCACAAGACACGAAAAAAAATCGTTTTTCTTTGGGCCACCCTACTCTGTATATACAGGGTGGTCCGAATTTTATGCAGGAAACTTCGAGGACAGATAGATCTCTTTAAAATAATAGAAGTTTGCCTTATAAACATAGGTCTGGAACGGCCTCGTTTTAGAGATACAGGGTGTTGGAATTGTTAAAAAAATATATATTTTTTGTTTATATCTCAGGAGTCTATTAACCGATCTCAATAAAATTTGGTATAAATAATGTACAAAATTAACGTTACGTATTTACAGTAATTGTTTAAAATGCATACCACCCATATCGATACATTTCAGACATCTTCTATTAATGGAACTAATTGAACTAATTATCATGTGGTGGTTTTCTTTTAATTCATTACACCCGTCTTCTATTCGCTGCAGCAGTTGTGGTCTAGTATCTATTGGAGTAGAGTATACTTTTCAGGTAGGTCACCCCAAAGTCCAGGGAGTTTAGATCTCGCGATCTGGCTGGCCAAGACACTGTACCCTCTGCACCATTATGGTTGACATTGGCATTTGGTCTTCTACCTATCCATCATCTCATATAATTTTCATTATGCCATTCTTGTATTATTCTCCTAAAATGCGCAGGAGCACCATCCATTTGTATCCAGCTATTTTGTCGTACATTTAATGGAACATCCTCTAATAATTCAAATAGATGGTTTTCTAGAAAGTTTAGAAATGACACCGAATTTCATGAGGATTTTCTTGTGACCAAATATCCAAATTGTGAAAATTCGCTACCGCTCGCCTTGTGATCGTAGCCTCATCGGTCTAAAGTATTTCTAGTAAAAATTCAAACAACCACTGATAAAAATTCAGGCGTCTCTCTGCATCTCCCGGAAATAAATTTTGCACAGGTTGTAAATGGTACGGATTTACTCACCCCAAGTTGCTGAGATATTCTTCATGTACCTACTTAGCGGAGGATCGTCGTCAAATGCTTTTAAAATTTCATTTCTGCGCATTTCATTCCTTTGTCGTGATTTTCCAAATATTGTTTTAATCCAAAAAGATGAAAGCGATGTGTGTAAAGAATTTTGTTGATGTGCTTACAAATTGCACTTACTTTTCAGCATATACATAAATATTCTTGTAATTAGAAGTGTCTGCCACAAGGGAATTGTATTGGTATGAATAACTTGAGAATGGTGAACTTTAGGGAAAACATTCAAGTTACCTTTTTTACGTATTTTGTGCATTAGAAAATAAATTCGTTTTTTTTATATAAAAAAGGGGTGACCCTGTCCAGTTGTACATCATTGGTTGAATCTTTAGAGCTCATATTTTAGGGAATACAAAACCTACTATCATACATTATCTGTACTAAATTTTATTGAAATCGGTGGATGGATTTCGGAGATATAAACAAAATATATATATTTTTAACAACTTCAACACCCTGTATCTCTAAAACGAGGCCGTTCCAGACCTATGTTTATAAGGCAAACACCTACTATTTTAAAAAGATTTATCTACCCTCGAAATTTCCTGCATAAAATTCGGACCACCTTGTAAGCGAGGAAAAATTAATAGTTTAGAATTAATATTTAATTAGATATTTAATTTGAATTAAATCGCTGTCAGAATTTAGTGTTGTCTTTGATGATTGTAACGAGAGGAAATTATAAAGCTGTTTATATTTTGCTAAGGTATATTCGTTTAAATCAATGATTCCCAAGGTGGTCTATATCGGCCTCTAGGGGTCGACTCGGAACTACAAGGGGTCCAAGTCAGCGAAAACAAAAATTGAGGGTGCATGAAATGTAAATTTAAGCAAGTCGTGACCGAAATTTTGGCTTCCCATAAATCGAATTATTCGCATAACACAGATAGTACCTAGGTATTTACATAATACTTTCTTATAATAGACATATAAATTACATGTGAAGTAAATTTTTTTAAAACATAGATTGTTTGTGAAACATGATGAAGATTTGGAACTAGATTTGGGGAACTTTATAATTCCGTGCTTAAATCATGGGAAAATTTTAGATCGATGATTGGATCATTCTCCATCGACGGGTCAAACCAATAACTTAATTGCTTTGAATTTTAATTAATGCTAATTGTACGAATCTTTTCTTTTCAATCAATCTATTTCGCTTTACTTAAAATAAAATTATTGTTTTACCTACTTTTGTTATTGAAATTTATTATTTTCTTATTTATTAAATTGTTTAAGAATTATTATAAATTTCATAGTAAACAATTATTTTATTTACTACACTCAATTATACATTAAGTATATTTTATAAAATTCTGCAGCAGACTATTCGCTTTGTGGTCGCAACACTTGTAACTTGTAAAAACTTGCAATATGTCAACTGTCAAAAACACATATTTGAAGTTCATGAATTCGTAAATTTCAATATTAAAAAGGCGGGAGTCTACCCAAAATAAAAAAGAATTGGCATGTGGTCTACGAGATAAAAAAGTTTGGGGACCTCTGGTTTAAATCGATAAAGATCATTGCACTAACAATTAATCGACATCTCGTTGTTTTTGTTCATCTTCTGGAATCCACGCTTAAACACAATAGTTAATCAATTTTTGTAACAATTTTTTTAGAAACTGAAAAGTAAGTAATGTTATGTAGGTACAATAAAAATATAACAACATGAAAGATATATCAATAAATATATTATAATGCAAAAAAATTTGTTCGATTTGCATAATGCAAGTGAATTTGATTAATTTGTATGCCTATCTTTTGGATTTTATAAGTCAGCAAATTGCAATCCTACTTAAATACTTACATTTAAATAAAAATATTAAGAAAATTAACGTTACGGATTTTAAAGATGGCATTACACTACAAATTTTCAGTTTACTGTAGAAGGAAAATCTGTATTACAACTTTGTCTTTAAAATCGAAAAGACAATTTTCTCAATGTTCCTATGAACAATTACAATGTTTGGACGTATAAAACGCAACAGATAAATATGTAATTCAATCAAATTTATTTAGTTTACTTTTTGCAATAAAATATAATTATTTTATTACTCAAGCGGGATAAGTCCTATCTTTCCGCTAGTTTTTTTAGGTCGGTAAATAGCTGTTTGCCTACTCTATTTATTTTGTCTATTGCCCACGAGAGCTCATTATCCGCTCAATAGCGGTAAATAGCTGTTTGCCTACTCTATTTATTTTGTCTATTGTCCACGAGAGCTCATCCGCTGAAGTGGTCAATAGACAACCGCACGAATTGCACATACTAATTTTTATTACGAATGCAATGAAATCTTAAGAGTCCAGAGGCGAAGCCCCGGTGGGGTAAACATATTTTTATTCAGTTTAAGTTGACATAAATAACTGTCATTTAAATGTCACTTTTTAAAAAAATATATTTTCGAGTGTGTAGGTATTTAAATTTTGCGTGTTTTATTGGCAATTCGCGTGCGATGAGTAATATTACCGCACGCAAATAAATAGAGTGTGCAAACAGCTAGTTACCGACCTAAAAAACATGTGAAAAGATAGGACTTATCCGTCATGAGTAATAAAAATATTATTTTTAAAACGTGACATTTAAATGACAGTTATTTATGTTAACCTAAATTGAATAAAAATATGTTGACCCCACCGGAGGTTCGCTCCTGGACTAAGATTTCATTGCATTCGTAATAAAAAAAATATTATGTGCAATTCGTGCGGTTGTCTATTGCCCACTTGAGCAGATGAGCGCACAAACGAAGTGAGTGATTTCGCTCTCGTGAGCAATAGACAACTTATTGCACAATATACTATTATTGCATTATAAGTGTCGTCAATTTTTATTCACATATTTTGTTATGTTTAGTTGTTTTGTTTCATTGCATAGTCATTCACATAACATTTTACCTCCCTTATCTTTTTTATCATCCTATCTAGCAAAAAATGGTTTTAGGATATTTCCATCCGATCTCATAGAAATATATAAAAATACAATTGAACGTTGTATCTCTGACATATAAAGCAAGCTTTTGTTTTTTGTTTTAAATAGAACACCCGAAATATGTATTTATTGATCTTGTGTAAAATCAATATTGAGATGAAACCGGTGTGTTTCTATGTTAAGAAAATGATAGAACAAGAAAAAAACATGAGCAGTGAGCACCCATGTAAACATCGAATTGTACCTTTCCTGTTTTATGGAGAATTATGTAAAAACTCTCAGTAATTATGATTAATTCATGTGTCAATAGTTTCATAAAAGCATTCTGTTTATAATACCGCACGAGATTTTCTGTATGTTGACCAGACGTGTCAAGTTCAGGAAATGTATGCAATAATAAACATAAGAAGTAAAAATATGCTTTTTTCCAAATTCTGAATGTATAACTTGTAAACTGTCTTTTACCTTGGAATCTTGTATAACTGGTACCACAGACAAAATAGCTATCACCTATCACCCCAGATCGCTACTGGAATAGGCAAGCAGTTTTAAATGTCCGAATTGCCGATAGAGTACACCACTAGCAGAATTTTAGGAAGAATCAAATGCAGCGGCCCGCGTTCCTACGTGTATCTCAGCAACATATAAACAACGGGTTGGCAAGGCTGTCACGTGTATTTACGGATTTATTTTGTACGCTTTTTTATCAATGCCTGTTTTTTGCGTTACTGTATTTACTTAAATGTAGGCATTGATAAAAATGTTTTAAAGAATGAACGAATAGGTAGGTAGTAGGTACCTATGTAGTCAACTTAAACGATCGGATATTCTGCAGCGGTTATAATTTGGTTAATTATTATCTACCTACTATTTTCATTTTTGGGTATTAGTAAATACTGCATAAAATATATTTCCAAATAAATAAAATTCGTAATGATATTTTAAACAACTTGTAATATAATTTTTTTAATATTTGATGATAATGATAAATTTATTTAATATACAAGGTGGGTTATTAGTATGTCGCGGAATGTAGGTACAGGACTTTCGTTTGTATTTTGACATCCACTTTAATAATTAAAGATAGAAAAAAACTTTAAATACAAATGTACGACTTTTCCTTTATTTCTTTTGAATGTAAATCATTAAAAAATTAAAATTCATCCCTATTGAAATAACAAACAACGATTTTTATAACTAACCTTTACAACATAAGGAGAATACCTAAAAACAAAATAACATTAAAATACCTACAATTGTTACAAATTTTCAATATGCAAGTAATTGTGATGATACAGTTGAAAATATGCTTTAATTTACTATTTATTGCTTTAAAAACAAATTCAGAATTTTCAAACATTTCGTTCTGTATTTTTTCTTTCAATACTTGTAAATTTTGTAATGTAATGTAAATATATTTTGTTGTAGTGTCCCCACAAAAATATGTCTAAAGGACTGAGATCGGGGCTGTTTCTAATAATATTTTTTACAGTGTTCGTCAATGGGATTCGTCCTCCAAAATAAATTTGCCGATATTCCTGAAGAGCTTTGGTACATTATTGTTATTTGAATAATACACGACCAACGGTGTGTGACATCATAGAATAAGAAAATGTTTATAACTCGGAAAAAAATATCGAAAAAATAATTGAAAAAATCTCCCATACACCCCTGGTTCTGATTGTCCGTTCTGCGTTGAATGCAAAAGGTCCGAAGTCCATATGAGGAAAATAAATTTCGGAAACAAGAGATGTGTGAGGTGATACAGTAAAAAAGGTCTTATAACTCGGAAACGGTGCGTTGAATCGAAAAAATAATTAAAAAATTTCCAACACCCCTAGTTCTGATTGGCCGTTCTGCGTTGAATGGAAAAGTTCCGAAGACCATATGTCGAAAAACAAAAAAGTTGTGAAAAATTATTAACTAATTCTATCGCAATCTTGATTTTATTCATTGTGGAGAGTCGGTAAATAAACCAAAATAATGAAAGTAAACTACCAAAGCAAATATACAACATGTATATACAGGGTATCTCTAAAGGGTCTCCAGCAGATATAGTTCGGCTTAAAATAAGTCGATTTAACTAAACTTGCCTTAATAATAACGGAGCTACAGGGTGTCAAATTTGAAATAAGAAATACTATTTCTTTAATATCTTTCGACTACTTCGAGTTAATTTCGTGAAATTTCGTATCCGAGGCTTTTTTGGGATGAGAAATTCGAATTTATCGACGATTTCGTTGTATCTTCTAGAGGGCGCCACAAGCGACCATTAGGACGCATTTAAACTGCCAAAACTTTTTTGTGTATATTTCACATGAGCTGGAAAAATCTTTTCTCCCCACTTTTCTACTTATACCTATATAACGGTATATATAACGGTATTATACCTATATAAAGGTATACCTTGATAATATCTCAAATCTAACCGTTTTCAACAAAAAGGCATTTAAATTTGTACCTAAATGAATAAAAGTTATTTTCAAGCCCACTGATAAACGAAATTAAGACGCCCTTTGTACTAATTACATGGTAGTAGGTAGTATCCGTCCGTATTTGGAATACATAAATTATTAAAACATTTAAAATATTTTCAATGAGCTTCGAATGTAATTTGTATAAGTTAAACAATTTTGGCTAAGATCTTACCGAAAAAATAATTAATAATAATTACAAAGGAGCCCTATAGACCGATCATAACTCATTTAGAGGGAAAAAAAAAAAAGAAAATTGTTGTCAAACAATGAGACAGTTTATTTTGTATTTTTTCCGTAGAATTGAATGGTGTAATCAGTTTTTGATCTTTTTTAATTTAAACAAATTATCAACAATTACTGAAAAATTCATTGTTGCAAATCATTTATTATTATTTTTGCATTTTTGAGCTTGTTTTTAACTGTGATTACAGATTTTTTATTTCACCAAAAAGTATATGTCAAAACGAAAAAATGATCACCGGCAGAACTCTGTACGATGATTTTTCTAAGTAGAATTTTTCTTTGAAAAAAAGTGTTTCAGACCGGAAAAATGAATATTTCGGAAACTTCTTGATTTTTTTATCTAAAAAAATGTATGATTATTTAAGACACAGAAAGGTATACTTTCACCAAGTTTCGTCAAAATTAAATTATTTTTGCGGATATGAGAAATAAAAAACGAAAAATCAGAAAAAAACCTGTTTTTCGCATTTTTCTCGGAAATTTTGAGGTTATCTTAAAAAGTGATCACTACAAAAGTTGTAGATTTTTGCATCATCTATAACTTTTGTATTGAATACTTTTTTGTTTGATGTCAACTTTCGCCAGAAACCCTAATGATACAATTTTTCACAACTTTTCAACCCCCCAAATCAACCCTCCGTCACTCCTGCTCACGCATTTATTTTTTTTTAGGTTTATTATAAGCCCTTTTACCATTTCCACTTATAACTACTAACTATAACAGCAGAAGTTTTTTTTTAATTAAACACTTACTAAGGCACATTTTTTGAGGCAATTATACTTATAAACAATTCTTTAACAAATGATTTTGTGGGAAACAACTACTCGTACACATTAATACATAATATCAATGACCTCTAGCTAAGTATAGTCTCAAATCACTTTTTTACATTAATAAATAATGAAACTTTTTCTTAAAGTTGTCCTTTAGGCAACTTAGATTAATAACTTTGCATTTTATTTTTGGATCACTGATTATTCCTAGAATATCAACTAGATTATTGAACTTGTTTGAATTTACATTAATGACACCACCGAACAAATTCTAGTAAACAAAACATAAAAAGGATGAATTAATTTGTAATTTGCACTTTACGTAGATACGTAGATACTATGTCTAAATTAATGGTGTGGAGATGTACCAAAACTACGCCTGTCCAAATATAATAATGCCATGCTGAAAAGGTTAACCAGTTTCATCCGCACTAAATTAAGAATCGACCTTAATGTTGTGTACCTCTCTGATTTGTCAAGTTCAACAACACAACACAACATGTGCTCTAAGAGTTTTTTATGCATAATCATTTAAATTTTAAATTGATTTTTATTAATGTGGAACTCCATGTCAGTTAGGCCATGGTATTTATTTATTATCTATATGCAAAATTAGTACCTTATTCTTTAATAATATTTAATTAATAAAACGAGATTGTCACTTCGTTAATAAACATTTGTTAATACGATGAATAAAAACCTACATGAAACGTACAACCAATTATATAATATCAGAAGGGAGCCACTTTTGTTAAAAAATTGCTCTACTACTATATTTCACTGGTATTAAGTCTTAATCACTTATAAAATCGGCTGAAATAGAGACAAGTTTAAAAATAAGTATTTTTAATTAATTTTTAACAGTTTAATTTTACGATAAGCAATTTAAATGTAATACACCAATTAAATTTAGGCAGTAGTATTTATACGAGTTACTATGTCAAGAAATATTAGTTCAATTAACCTTTAACTAAATTTTTAATTAGTTTTTAAACACTGCTATGATAAACCACTTACAGTTTTCATGATGACTTGAAGGTACGTATAAATAAACTTCAGTTTGTTTATTTCTGAAATGAAGATTTATATATAGTCGTCATTGGTTCTCCCTTCTATTTGTACGAACATCTTCAAATCATCTAATTTCTAAATTGTCAAGGTAATCTATGGTATTTAAATACCACATTCTTAATTCATATACTTGTCTAAATGGTGATTTTCTTATGTAATTAATGAATTTTAATTTTCCAGAAATGTGTAGGACACATATGTTTATTGTATGACAGGATCATCAAGGTTTTAATCGAAAAACCTCACCAGCTGGTAGAACAAATTATTATTTCATATGGATATTTGGGTCTTAGATCGCTTCGTTTTGGAAACGTAGGGTGTTGAAATTATAAAAAATATCACATTTTCGGAAATATCTCTGAATATGTTTAATATAGACTCAAACTTGGGCTATTAATTGATCGATTTATTGAAGTAACAAAGCTAAATGAACTTGTAAGTAGATCCAACCTGGAACGAAGATTTCGATACCAGAAAGTATTCTGAAAATTCCAGTCGTACTTTTCCTTACCAAAGGTATTTCTACGGAAAAATTTTTATCCACCTTGTATGAAAAATTAGAAGTTTTAGGATTATATTTTTTATATTGTAAAATGCGCTTACCACACAGTTAAATAAATAGAAAATGACACTAAATTCTTGTATAGAAATGTTTATGGAAATCTTTGTTGTAAATACTATATTAAATTGTATTTAATATCTATACAATGTAATATATTAAGTAAATCTTGAACGCATCATTGGCGTAAAATTATTTTTTTTTGGCAAACGTAACATAAATATAGCTATATAGCTATATAGTTTAATATGACTACGCCAATTTAAAATAATAAGTAGCTATTATTTTTAGTATATCTAAGAAAAACATCGAAATCGCAAGTTCTAAATTTACCAACATTTCGAAAAAATCCAAGAATTTTTCAAAAAACTCCGTACAAAGCGTAACCGCTGAAACAATAGGAGTCCATAGACCAATCATCGCAGATGACCTACTACACAGATGAAAGGGCGTAGGGGCGAAAGCACATTTTGAACCGTATTTTTTAATACTTCCGGAATTTACCCCCATAAAGTCACAATTACTCTTAGACGTATTAGACGATGCTCATAGCTCATGCTATGAAGCGCTACACCGTCCCGAATCCGCAGGAAGGCGACAAAAATTTCACGCACCTTTCGAAGATTTCCCGCCAAGCCGCCATGAAGCCATGATTGCCGCCAAAAGTCACCAGTTGTGCCGGACCACACACGTCCTTTATCGTCCAGAAACCGCAGAACCATATTTCCAAAATTGACAAAAGATAAGATGTCCGAAAAATTTAAAATTCGAACTAAAAAACGTCTTCAGTGTCAATACTAACACAAATTATTTTCAGCTGCATAATCTTTCGGAGAAACCCATAATCCAAAACAAAAATTTTCCAGACCTTAACCGGACCACACATCAGCACACCCTGCGGAGTCAGCGTCAAGAGTGATCGAACGTCAGCCTGGGAATCGTGTGGTTCAATAACTACTATAGTCGGAATCTGACTCCAAGTTATTCAAGCTTTCATACTTACAATCATATAATGTTAATTAATACGAAAATTGCTACAAATCCCACAATTGTTTATAAAAATTAAAACTGAGTTAAAATTTTCTCCTAAAAAATTCGGTGAAGATCCTACGGGATACTCTGCTCCTAAAGCTGCCCCAAATGCCCTAAGAAGGTATATTCCATAAAACAAAGTAATCAGTGCGCAAAACATAAAGGTTCTGCTGGAAACCTTAGAAACGAAAGAAAAACACTAATTTAAACATATCGCAGTGTCAGTGTGTCTTTAGGTACAAAATTGAGCTTGGACTTATATAACGAGACCAAGTAATCTCGTCATCAATAGAGAAAGGCGACAGTATCAACATCATCTAGCGTCCGTTGAGATTGGTGTGAGGAGATAGATGCCCGAGCATCCTAGAAATCCTCTTGCAGGCGACTAACCTCTCAGCACCGCATGTAAAAATGGAGCCTCAGAGACCATCTCTCAATTTTATGGCAATATGAGAGTGTATGCTACCCTTATTACGCTGATAAATAATGAAAATAAGCAGACCAATTATATTCCATAACAATAGCTCTAGCATAAAGGAGTAAAAATTAAAAACAATTCACAATTTATTTTTTTAGTTAAGGAAGCAACTACAAAATGAAAAATAACCAACACGTATAGTTGTTACGATATCAATTGGAACCTATGAATCTTAAAGCACAGGACCGTCTGCACTTCTCGTGAAATTTCATCCTATGCTTTAGCAATGGATCTGCCTCGTAATTTATACTCGATTAGCCATTGGGCGAGTCCGGTACTGGTAGACCGGTTCGCCTGATGTAGAATCGACGGCGGCGCGCTGGTCGTCAAAGCAAACCTGTATTGGTCCACTAGATCGTAAATTATTTTTTGCATGGTATTCTATAATTAGTTTGGTGTCGAACGCGGTTCACTTGACTTTGCAAGTGCAGTGGAGAGCAGTGCTTGGCGTGGTATATTTATTGTTGGTATAATAAGTATTATTAATTATTAGTTAATATTATTATTTGTTCATATCGTAACTAGTAAAGATTAAGAGTAGTTAAAATAAATATTATATGTAATTATCTAGTAATTTAGTATGGCTTTCTGCAGACTCTTTGAAACGGAAGATAACGAAATAACCCGGGAAAATTCCCAAATAATCGAACCGGTTTTTGTCGAAAGCGTCGAAACAAATTCAAAACTTTATAAAACAAAGATTTACACGTACAAAGTCCACGTATTATTTTAAATACAATATATAAATGTTTGAAAAGAGAAAATAGTGAACAATGTGGTAAAGAAATTAGGAAACAGATTAGAGAATTAACTAATTGTAAGATATCAAAAACGATCATTTATCGTGTAATTAAAGAAGGAGACATTATTAATCACGGTACAAAAAGGAAACGGAAAAATACAAAATAAAGAATATTGACGATTTTACCAGAGATGTTATATGGCGCACAATTTATAGTAGGTATGTATAAAGAAAATAAAGTTCCTAGTTTAAACATGATTCGAGATAAATTAAGCGATTATCCTGATTATAATTATAAATTTTTAGGTACTTTATGTTTATATGTTTTATTACAATGCGGTTTTAAACATAAAAAACTTAACTTGACAATCGTATGGTAATTATGGAATCGCGACGTATAGTTGCACTTCGGGAAGATTATTTACAAAAAATTAGAGAATATCGTCAACTAAATGATGGGAACATAGCTCAGAATATACAATATCTAGATGAGACAGGGCAAAATTTTCCGTAGAGTTTATGAGTTAAATGTTTTTATAAGGTTCCAACTTATATCGTAACGACTGTACCTAAGTTTTCTATAAAGGTACAATCTACATACAATTTAAATAACTAGAAAAAACTATTTATAGATAATATACGGAATGTGGAGATCCGAGCACTGTGGCGGAAGGCTACATTGAACACTCACTTTTGAATAAAGAACATATTGCGAAAAGAATACTGAAAGTTGATAGTAGTAAGCACCGTTGTCAATTCTGATTTCACAACATCTGAAAATAATATAACTATTAACGAAAACTTGTTGGACTGCTTTGAGGATTGCTCTAATTGTAAGAATGAGGGTAGTGACAGTTTCAGTGGTTTATTTAATTTTAATACTTGTTCAAACTCTGTATTTAATATCAATGTGGATAAACAAAAATCTAAGGATTAAAAGTTTCAACTTTAGCTTCTAGTAATAAAAGTAAATACTTTTGTTGCTAAGATACCATGTTTTCTTGGTAAAAAAAGTGTCAAAAATAAACTATTTTGTCCCATTCTAACCTCACAAAAAAATCATTTAAATAGTTGCGATGACTTAGTGCTATAGTATAAATAAAAAATAAACTATAAAAACAACCTATGACAAACAAGAGTTTATTAAGAAAATAGGGCAGTATGCATTTTAGAATCGAAAAATCGTTAGATTTATTAATAATATATTTATGAATATCATATCATATCAAATATTTTGTATTACATTTGGTTCTATTTTTTTTATAAAATTTCAACCCAATCCGCAACCATCAATGGAAGCCAATAGGCATGGTGATGGTGCCATTCCCAATTTTTTCACGCCAGCCGAAGGTGGTAAATGTGTACCAGCCGGCTCAAACCCATTCTTTCCGGCAGTATAATCTACTCTGTATTCTTTCCCATCATCTCCTATGTAACTATAAAATCCTTGAACCTCGATTCCTTCATCTTCTTCTCTACCAGTTTCCGACCTCAGTTCCCCTCTAGCTTCATGATGGAATTGGTCACTAGTGTCTACGCTATAAAAATTAAATCAAACAACAAGTACTGCTTATAAAACCATTGAATGTATATTGCACAAGCATGACATTCATGTCTTTTTTCAAGGCTAATTTTTGTAGCCAGAAAAATAGAAATAAATTGAAAATAAATGTATGTATAAGATCCCTATCAATTAAATGTTCGGACGGCACATTATTTATTATACATTTTATACAAGTTTTAAGTAAAAGTTTCCTAAATTCACTTCAGCTACGCTAATAATGATTGTCACAAATTCAGTGGTCAAGAAAACTGCATTTATTAAAATAAAAGTTTAACTGTAATGAGAATTAAACAAATGTTTCAAAATGTATTGACAAGTAAATATTTGGACAGAAAAATACTTCGGAACATCTCTTTTGGCCTTTATAACAGCGCAAATTGTCTTTACCATAGTGTCAACAGGATCTGCAAAACTCCGGAGTGAAAAACTTCTAAATCTCCTGGATTTTTCTTTTGAGATCAGAAACTGTTTTTTGGAGTTTGTTCCGCAAGGACTATTTCATATGTTGTCATAATGTTTCAATGACATTTAGGTCGGTGTAGCTTAACGGTCAGCTCAAAACTGTAGGTAGCACTATTGACAAACCATTTTTTTTTGTTTAGCCATGACGGAGGATGTATTTTTTTACTGGATAATAAAATGTAGTATTAATGCTGTTATTAATGAACTCTAGTCTTGTAGGAGTTTTATTTTATGTTTTAAGCACTCCTTGTGGAAGACTTCCTTTGCTGTTCGTATTAACCGTTAAGGAAAATTCCCAATACACACGTCAGATTTGGACTTGGAATTACTAAAAATTATTTGAAACCAGTTTTCACTTGCCCAAGTAGCTTTCGATTTATCCTCAAGCTAAACGGTTCATCTTCAACAATGATTTTTCTTTTGTTTGAAAACAAAATCTTTATTTAGCTTTTGGCGTTAACAATTTATTGACTTTAAGGGTACTTTACCTCGGAAAAACCATAACCAGAATTGTGTTTGATTTTAGACTGCGGCAATTTCTTTCAGAGTAGCTCTTCTTGTGGATATTAACAAGAGGTCCTTTTTATCACTTTTGGCGGTCGACCATAACTTTTTTCATGAATGTCTATACTATCAGTTTCGGTAGGTACGTTTCAGCTATATCTCCAACTATAGATTTCAGCATAATCACTTCGCAGTTTTCATCGATTTCCCTCGCTCATATTGTTGAATTATTATTTGACGCAATTTTTTTAAGGTTGCTAAGCCGCACGTCATAATTTTGTACAATATGGTTGTGAAAATGTCACAAATACTGACAGGCATACGAATTATAAGAATAGATATTTTTTATTGTTTCTGAACATTTAGTTGTCAGCAAATTAAGCAAAATATTACTACGAAAAATTGACAGAAATGTTATCTAAAATGATTGTAAAATGGAAGGTTCCAAGACTGTGTGATATTATTAACTGTTGTAGATAAAATTATCGTTCATACGAATATTTGATTGTTAGGGCTCATATACAGAGTGGGTCTATTTGACACTATTTTTCGTATTTCTCAAGGTAATATAATTGCCCCAACATTAGCATACCATCTTTTTTATATTGGACGAAAGTTCTCAAAATGGTTTAGAAACTATTTTTTGGAGAAATTTGGCATACTCTAACAGCTTTGGATATAAAGAGATACGTTTTGTTAAATCATCTATTTGACCCAAATAATTTGTGGTAGTGCCTAATAGGGTGTCCCACCGGGAACTGCGTCGATCAATATTTAGGAAAGTACTGTACCGATATAATCATTGTTATGGTTGCCCTTAATTGGTCATTATGGTTGACCTTACTACTTTTAGAAATATTTGCAATTTTCTATTTTTTTGGACGGTTTTGTCGTATCAGATCTGCTATCAAATTGGCCATGACCAGAAACACTCCAAAAACAGTTGAAATAACATGACATTTGCCAAGTTAGTTGTCAAATTATTGTTGCGTCTGAATAGTTTTTGCCGAAAATTTAAATAGAAATGTCTGGAACAAATTAAAATAATCCTCACAAGTATAATTTAAACGATTCCCAGATATTTCTATTTAAATTTTCAGCAAAAACTATTACAGACATAACAATAATTTGATAACTAACTTGACAAATGTCAAGTTATTTTAATTGTTTTGGAGTGTTTCTGGTCATGGTCAATTTGGCAACAGGTCTGATACGAGAAAAAATGTTCAAAAAATAGAAAATTGTAAATATCTCTAAAAGTAGTAACAGCAACCCTAACAATGATTATACGGCATGAAAGAAAATTTCAATATGCATAAGATAGAGTAAAAAATACGGGCGTTGCATTTAGGTTAACAAAGTTATAGCTGTTTGAAGTTATCAAAAGGTAACAGCAAAAATGAAACACATAGTATTAAATGTTTTAACTTGTTGGTATAACTTATGCCCTTAACAGGTACCAAAAATCCACTTAATATCACGCTCCTGAAAAAAGTTACTAGCATCTCCGTGGACCCTTGCATGTGTCAAATTTTTTCTTTAAATATTAATATATCAAATTCTATAACTCCTAGGTATAGGGAATATTTAATAAAGTGACCCTCAAATTTCCCGTACAATCCGAAAATGCAATACTACATAGAGTGTCCCATTTAAAATAACGAAGTTGGTGTCAACTTCCGGTACAACCGGAAGTGCTGGAGAGTTCTAGATATTTTATTTGTGTTCGCCACAGGGACATTGCCATGTTGCCAAATTTTCAAATTTTTCGGAGCAGTACTTTCCTAGATATCGACGCAGTTCCCGGTGGGACACTCTGTATAATGTGACATTTTATATATATATTTTCCTTTTTTTATATTTACTTCTGATTCAATATAGAATTTTTTGCTGGCAAATAATTTCTATAAATAAATAAATAAATATCATTGTAAGCCTATGGAGTACATCGTTGAAATATTGTTCCTGAAAATCGACTTTTTTATTTATGATGGATATTATACAGATCCTCGAAACTGACATTTTAGTCTACCTTATGTATATTTATATTCAATATTTGAACTGTTGTTTGTAGAAACAATGATAAGAGTCACATCCTGGTTACACTTAGTCAAGGTAATATGTGGTCAAGGATAAGAGGGATATCTAAGGTATTCTGCACATATTATGATCCCTGACAGATGTCAACGATTTTACATGGAAGACATAGTCCAGAACTAAAGCCAGTTGACTAACTATAGTTTTGTATATAGCTTAAATCATACTCTTCGTTAATCTAAAATGGGATTTAATGTCTACATTAATATAATATATACTTTTATAGGTCCATATTTTTCATAATTAACTCTTTCTGTAGCACGAATTAACCTTTCATTATTATATTTACTGTTAGAACCACACAAATCTTCATCAGAAGAAAAATTATATCTTGTTAATTTAAGTAATACCGTTGCAACGACGAATTCCATAATTTTCCTTTTAAAATGTAATCATAAGCTAATTGTATACAGAAGAAAATACGAAAAAGAATGATTTCTTCTATCATCGATTGAGTCGACCACGATATGAAAATTTAGCAGAAATTGCTGTTATATTTTACTCACCTAAACGAAAATCCCCTGAGGAAATTCTGGAAGTTATATTTTAATACTTGCGGTACTGTTTTGGCGAATAAACCAAACTGCGGTTGGGGTCGGCATTCTATACTTGCTAAGATGGCACATATGCACAGTAATATAATCTAAAATAAAATACAATTCGGTATTTAACAATTAATTTAACATGCCATGTTAAAACTATACAACAAACTATAACTAATAAACTATACAAACTATACTATACTTCGCTTCTCACTACAGGGATCTCGAAAACGATAAGAGATACAAACTAGCTTAAATGGGGGCAAAGTTGCGTTTTGGTAATAGTTTAAATAACTAGATGGATTTCACAGGGTTTAACGACACTTACAGTGTACGATAATTCAATAAACAAAGAAATCTAAATAAAAAATTTAGATAAATTTAGAACGAATACACTGAAGATGAATTTTTCGAAACAAAACGTCTGAATCTGGTTCGGGCTGAGGCAGTACAGTATTAGGGCTCATGAAGGCTTGCAAAAAATGTAATAAAATTTCTAGGGCCGTATTTAAAAAAATGAAGTTGATGATGGTCCTGGAGAGACGAAACGTTACATATAAAAATTGATTATGCCATTCGACAGAGGGCAAAAAGTGGCCATGAGAAAGTGTTCTTCTTTTTTCAATTTCACCTCAAACAAAGCTAAAATGAAACAAAAACGGATTTCCAAAATATTTCGGTGTTTTTTCAAATGTTTCGAAAACTAATCATGTTAGCCTTGATTTTTTATAGGCATAATGTTGGTCCCCTGATTACGCAACTTTGCCCCCATTTAAGTTAGTTTGTATCTCTTACCGTTTTCGAGATCCCTGTAGTGAGAAGCGAATTTGTAACAGCCTGTATACTGAGCTTTCACATATTTTCACAAGCCACGTGACCAGAATTTAGGCAACCAATATTGCACGGCTGGTACTGTCAAGTAAAAATCCATAAATCTTAGCGTCATTAATATTAATGATTCGTTTACAATCAACTATGTCAAACCGTTACGTCTACGGCGATCGTCGCTCCGCTGAATAGAATCTAGTGAAAATTACTCCAATCACTATCCGCTGAAAAGAATGCTGTGTTTAAAATAATCTTAATCTTATTATTTTAATAATTTTTAGTTTTACCGAAATTTAATGGCCAACATGAACGAAATAAAATTACTGTTCCAAACAAAATTCCTGGTCACATGACCTGTAATTATTTATGAAAGCCCTTTATGTCAAGTACTGCTGATTAGTATACGTGATAAAAAACAATGGACAAGAAAATTTTTTTATCAATATATGAGAGCATTAAACAAGCGTATTCATTGTCACATAGATTTATGCAAAAAGATATATCGAAACATTTATTATGCTACTCGGAGGTTTATCAATGTTTTTCCTAAAGCATTCAAACAGTCCAGGGAAATTAAATTGGATAAATGAATGAATCAATCAATGAAGTGTGCTTTTTAAAATATTATAATTTAAATAAACAATTATAATAAGTTTTAAAAGAGATCTAATGGTGTCAGTTCTTGAGATACGATCGGCAATTCCATGATTAATAAAAATAACTACGTAATTTAATTTGTTGCCGCATCGTCGGTTTAGATTTCTTGACGTTGCGAAAAACATATCGCTTTATTCTTCAGAAGAAATTCTGAAACTAGAAATTAAGTATCTATTCTAGTCACTATTCATATTTGGTATGCGCACTAGTCTGTGACATTCCGATTCTTGGTCTTTAAGTATGAGGGGCCCAGTGACTTTAAACAAAAAAACCTTTACAAAAATTTGTCCAAATTTGACAATGATAAAAATGATACGTTTTGTGGCAATAGTTTGAAAGAGCTATCTTTTTAACAAAAACAAAAAAGTAATCGAGTCTGATCAGTGATCACAAATACCTGCTTAAATATGTTTCCATCTTAAATAGATCACGTTGTAGGTATACTTATAAAAATATATTTCTGCTTTGTTTTCCACTTGAATAGTTTTTACATATTAACAATTTTATAGCTACTTGCCGGTAAATTTGTTTAGTTTTTTTTTAGTCAGTATAGTATGAATAGTTTGCTGTTTTTTAGCACTAACTACGCTCGACACAATTACACGCAATTATTCATCAAAAGACTGCCAAAAATCGTAAAAGAAATCGCTCAGGTCACGTTAGTATACTGTTATAGCACAGACAAAATAGCTATCGCCCCAGACCGCTACTGGGATAGGCCAGCAGTTCTAAATTTCCGAATTGCCAATAGAGTACACCACCAGCAGAATTTTAGGAAGAATCAAATGCAGCGGCACGCATACCTACGCGTATCCTAGCAACATATAAACAAGACTTTGGTAATGTTTCCAGGCGTACTTACGGATTTCTTTTGTACACTTTTTTATCAATATCTGTTTTTTTCGTTACTGTATTTACTTAAACGTATGATATAGGTATTGATAAACATGTTTTTAAATAATCAACGAATATCTATGTAGTTTCATATGATATTCTGCAGCGGTGTTATAATTAAGGTATTTAATCATAATTTCTACGTGTATCCCAGCAACATATAATCAATGGTTTGGCAATGTTGTCACGTGTAGGTACTATTTTCATTTTTGGGTATTAGTAAATACTGCAGAAAATATATTTCCAAATAAACAATATTCGTAATGATATTTGAAACAGCTTGCAATATATATTTTTTTAATATTTGATGATGATGATAAATTTAATATGGGTTATTACTACGTCGCGGAATGTAGGTACAGGATTTTTGTTTATATTTTAACATCCACTTATAGGTTTAATAAATAATTAAAGATAGAAAAAACTTTAAATACGACTTTTCCTTTATTTCTTTTGAATGATAAATCATTTAAAAAATTAAAATTCATCCTTACTGAAATAACAAACAACGATTTTTGAAACTAACCTTTACAACAACATAAGGAGAATACCTAAAAACGAAATAACATTAAAATACCTACAATTTTTACAAATTTTCAACATGCAATCGTGATGATACAGTTGGAAATATGCTTTAATTTACTATTTAGGTATTGCTTTAAAAACAAATTCAGAATTATCAAACATTTCGTCCTGTATTTTTTCTTTCAATACTTGTAAATTTTGAGGTCTTTAATAATATATTTTGTTGAAGTGTCCCGACAAAAATATGTCTAAAGGATCGGGGCTGTTTTCTGGGCACCTAAGGTTTCTAATAATATTTTTTACAGTGTTTGACGACGGGATTCGTCCTCCAAAATAAATTTGCCGATATTCCTGAAGAACTTTTGCACATTATTGTTATTTGAATAATACTGTTTAATTATGTTTTATTTTTCGTCATCAGAATAACTCATTTTAATTTTTTTTAATTTTTTAAATTAAAATGGGTTATTCTGATAATGGATAAATCCCATGTATTTTTAAAGGAAGGTTCGTTTCTGTCGTTTTTGTCTCATTGTGTACGAGAGAGATAGAGATATATTGTGCGATAGAGATAGAGCGACTTTGTCCCATAGACCACCCTTTGTCCTCATAGAGGGCTTTTCTCTCTCTGTATCTCTCTCTCTCTCTCTCTCTGCTGTGTTCAGGAGTCTCTGGGCTTTCCCAGAATCTTTAGAACACCTAGGGAGGGAGCGTGGGGTAGAATGCGTGGCCTTTTTAGCCTTCGTCATCGAGCTACGACGTCACAACAAATGAGAAAAAAAACGGTTTTGCTCCTAACTCGGAAATGGCTGGAAATATAAACAAATCTTCCCTTTGTTCTGACTAAAGCACTCGGTTGGTGAGGCAGAGTGGGGATCACAATATATGAAAGAAAAAAAAAACAGTATTTGCTTGTACCTCAGAAATACCTACTCGAAATATCAAAAAATCTCCCATGGTTCTGATTGGTGATCGAGTGAAAAATGTCCGAAGTCCGCATGTCTAAAAAAAAAAATCGGGACCAACATCATAGAATAAAAAAGTGTTTACAACTGGGAAACGGTGCGTTGAATCGAAAAAATAATTAAAAAAATCTCCCCACACCCTCGGTTCTGATTGTCCGTTCTGCGTTGAATGGAAAAGGTCCGAAGTCCGTATGTCGAAAAACAAAAAAGTTAGTCAAAAATTGTAACAACAGTAGCGAACGCATTATCTTATCTCTGTATTGATTGATGATTTGTTGTTTTTTTTTAATAAATTTCGTAATCAACTACTCCTTGAGGTTCCAACAATTTTACATTGTGTTAATTTCTTTAAACACCTTGTGACACAAATATAAGCACTACCAATGGCATCCCTGATATGCAACACTTGTGTCAATAATTATTTTACCTATATAAAGAAATCAACAAGAGAGCAGTAATATCGTATCAAGTTGGAAGTCGACGCACAAATCTAAAAACATTCATTTCAAGTTTTTGAATTCTCCCATTCCAAGGTGATATAAATTAATTAAAAAAATTCATAGTTTTAATTCTAACTTGATTTATTTTATTTAGCATTTATCACCAATGTGATTTCCAAACAAAAGATAAGTTCCATATCTCTTTAATTACATAATTCAATGCATAAAATTTATTTGGCAGTTATTATTTGGCAACAAAGCCACCGCTAGAACTGCCGCCTATTACCAAGTAGAAGAGTTACCACGCTAAATTATATAGCTGGATGCCGGCTGACAAAAGCCTGCTTCCTTTTCGGGTTGCCAATTTCCAACATTTAACACGCAGTCTGTGGCGATAAGCTATATTGTCTGTGGTTATAGTGCGGATGTCGCATAATTAATTCCTATCCGTTGGTGTTTATGGTGGTATAATTAATTGTATACAATTGAATTTGTTGCTTTTTAATAAATAATGAGTACGCCTATGTCCCGCGGCTCAATTCTGACAACCCTATTTATAAAAGGTATTTTCTATTGCCTTTATCCCATTGCAGGCAAAGGAATATTCCAAACAAATTTTTTCTTTGTAATGCCCTATTGTTCACTTCATTGATAGCATTTACATCAATATTTTTCCCTTGTTAGGTTATATAACTTATTAGATTGTTTCTTGTTTACATTACTTTTCAGAATCTTCTATAAAAAGGACTACGTGGAGGTCAAGTTAGGATTCCTTCCGAATTAAAAAAATATTTCCTCATAATAAAAAAATATCCTTTGTCTGGACACAGCACATCTTTCATAGTTTAACATTTTATTTTTAATCAAATATTTAAAAATATGTTTAAATCTGTGAAAAATTATTAACGGAAATGCAAAAATATGCACTAGATCTTGACTTTATTCATTGTGGAAAGTCGATAAATAAACCAAAATAATGTGTAACTAGACTTTATATTGGTTGCATTATTTAGATTGTGTTAGATTGTTTTTAGAAGGTATGTTTTTTACTGTCAATTCTGCAGTAAAATTGTTAAATAAATGAAATTTAAAATTGAAATTGCACTGTTTCCTTGCATATATTCCTTGTTAATAAACGATTGCTCCTAATTTCGTTTATCAGTGGAGTTGAAAATAATTTTTAAACAATTTGTTTATGCATTCCCAAATTTAAATGCCTTTTTGTTGTCAACGGTTGGCTTTAGATACATTAGCAAGGTATACTTTTTCTAAACAGAAAAGTTGGGGGAAGAGATTTTTCCAGCTCAAAGTGAAATACCTACACTGCGATACAAAAAAGTTTTGGCANCTTTTGAATGATAAATCATTTAAAAAATTAAAATTCATCCTTACTGAAATAACAAACAACGATTTTTGAAACTAACCTTTACAACAACATAAGGAGAATACCTAAAAACGAAATAACATTAAAATACCTACAATTTTTACAAATTTTCAACATGATGATACTATTTAGGTATTGCCTTAAAAACAAATTCAGAATTATCAAACATTTGGTCCTGTATTTTTTCTTTCAATACTTGTAAATTTTGAGGTCTTTAATAATATATTTTGTTGAAGTGTCCCCCACAAAAATATGTCTAAAGGACTGAGATTGGAGCTGTTTTCTGGGCACCTAAGTTTTCTAATAATATTTTTTACAGTGTTTGTCGACGGGATTCGTCCTACAAAATAAATTTGCCGATATTCCTGAAGAACTTTTGCACATTATTGTTATTTGAATAATAGAGTTTAATTATGTTTTATTTTTCGTCATCAGAATAACCCATTTTATTTTTTTTAATTTTTTAAATTAAAATGGGTTATTCTGATAATGGATAAATCCCATGTATTTTTAAAGGAAGGTTCGTTTCTGTCGTTTTTGTCTGGTTGTGTGCGAGAGAGATAGAGCTATATTGTGCGATAGAGATAGAGTGACTTTGTCCCATAGACCACCCTTTGTCCTCATAGAGGGCTTTTATCTCTCTGTCTCTCTCTCTGCTGTCTTCAGGAGTCTCTGGGCTTCCCCAGCATCTTCAGGACACCTAGGGAGGAGGCGTGGGGTAGAGCACGTGGCCTTTTTAGCCTTCGTCATCGAGCTACGACGTCACAACATATGAGAAAAAAATGGTTTTTGCTCGTAACTCGGAAATGTCTGGAAATATAAACAAATCTTCCCTTGGTTCTGAGTGGAGCACTCGGTGGGTGAGGCAGAGTGGAGGGTCACAATATATGAAAGAAAAAAAAAACAGTATTTGCTTGTACCTCAGAAATACCTACTCGAAATATAAAAAAATCTCCCATGGTTCTGATTGGTGATCGAGTGAAAAATGTCTGAAGTCCGCATGTCTAAAAAAAAATCGGAACCAACGGTGTGTGACATCATAGTATAAAAAAGTGTTTATAATCGAAAAAATAATTAAAAAATCTCCCCACACCCTTGGTTCTGATTGTCCGTTATGTGTTGAATGGAAAAGGTCCGAAGTCCGTATGTCGAAAAACAAAAAAAGTTAGTCAAAAATTGCAACAACAGTAGCGAACGCATTATTTTATCTCTGTATTGATTGATGATTTGTTTTCAACTACTCCTTGAGGTTCTAACAATTTTACATTGTGTTAATTTTGTTGAACACCTAGATTGTGTTAGATAGTTTTTAGAAAGTATGTTTTTTACTGTCAATTCTGTTTGCAGTAAAATTGTTAAATAAATGAAATTTAAAATTGAAATTGCACTGTTTCCTTTCAAGGCATATATTCCTTGTTAATAAACGATTGCTCCTAATTTCGTTTATCAGTGGAGTTGAAAATAATTTTTAAACAATTTTTTTATGCATTCCCAATTTTAAATGCCTTTTTGTTGTCAACGGTTGGTTTTAGAGACATTAGCAAGGTATACTTTTTCTAAACAGAAAAGTTGGGGGAAGAGATTTTTCCAGCTCAAAGTGAAATACCTACACTGCGATACAAAAAAGTTTTGGCAATTTAAATACGTCCTAATGGTCGCTTGTAACTCCCTCTAGAACAGGGGTCGGCAACTGGCGGACCGCGGTCCAGATCCGGACCGCGGAAGGTAAAATAATTGACTTCCAAAAATTTTTTGGAAAGTATAAATTACTCAATTAAATTATTTAAAAAATAGTTTTCTATTGATAATAATACGTTTGAGTGCCACCCTTATCATTTCTACTACAATTGCCTGATTGATTTGAGTTCTTAATGGTTAGTAGGTAGATAAAATTTGTGAGTGCAAATTAAAATAAAAAATTAGTAAGGAATGCGAGTCTTTTTTGTGGACTTTGTTAAAAATTTTCAAAAGTATCCGAACCCCACATAAAATTACTTGCCGACCCCTGCTCTAGAAGATACAACGAAATCGTCGATAAATTCGAATTTCCCATCCCAAAAAAACCCGCATACGAAATTTCGAGAAATTAGCTTGCAATAGTCGAAAGATGTTAAAGAAAATGTTATTAATATTTTTCAACTTTGTACAACTTTGACATCCGTTTTCAAATTTTGGACTAAGGTAGTTTAGTTAAATCGACTTATTTTGAACCGTACTGTATCTGGTGAAGCGTTGTACAGACGCTTTAGAGACATCTTGTATAGCTGCAATAAAAAAAAATTGAAGAATCCACAAAAACAAATATACATTTTATTAAAAAAAACAAATGTTTGGTTTATATCTCCTAAATACAACATTCAGTTGATTTTTTTTTTATAACGAGTGTTCAAATAAAAACGTGGTCGAAGTTGGCTCTGACACATTGGACGTAGGGAGTAGCTTATAGCGACCAACTTAACCTCATTTCTCAACGAGCTGTATAGCAGCTGTCAGTTTCAATAACGTTAATGACTATATAACTTTATTTTAAAGAATAATCGTGATAACAATAACAAACAATTAAAGGAGCTGCGGAAAGTGTCCCCCTCCTTGTTATAACAATAAATTAAAGCAGCTGCTGAAAGTGTCCCCCTCCTTGTTCCAAGCACTTTTCACACCTGTTCCTCAAAGAATTAAAGACATTTTCTAAGATGCTCGGGGTATTGTTAATTTCACGAATCTTGTCTATAAGTCGAGCCTGCAGATGGTTTAAATCAGGAATAGGCAGTTCAAAAATAGTGTTTTTAAGGTAAGGCCACAAAAAGAAATCACACGGCGTAATATCACATGACCTCGGTGGAAATTCATGTTCAGCATTGAGACTTATTAGTCGATTTTGGAAAACTTCCCTCAACATATTCATCGTCTCGCCTGCCGTATGTGCCCTTGCGCCATCTTGTTGAAAGTAAAAGTTTGTAATTTCGTTTTCTTCCAGCTGGTTAACAAAAGGAGCGATAATTTCTTCTCTATACCTTTGCGCAGTAAGAGTACCATTAAAAAAAATAGGTCCATAAATCCTCCTTCGATTGAGAGCACACCAAACTCCAATTTTTTGAGCGTGTAGAGGGCCCTCGACAAAAAAGTTATCTGGTTTTTCAGAAGACCACATTCTCATATTCTGTGAGTTTACGTAACCACTTAAATGAAACCAGGCTTCATCAGAAAAAAAGGTGATATTATGAAGTTCACCGTAGTTGTTTAAAAACCATTCACAAAATACAGCCCGTCGCGGAAAATCAACTTCATGAAGTTCTTGCTGACAAGTTAAACGATAGGAGAACAAACGCAAATCTTTTTTTAACACTGTGTGGCAGGTACCGACTGATACTCCCACCATTTGTGATAAAACACGTACAGAAGTTCTTGGCGCATTTTCCATTATTTGTTGGACATTTTCTTTTAATTCTTCAGTCCGCTTTTTAGGTCGGCCGCTTCCTTCTTTTCTTGTTACACTGCCCGTTTCACGAAAAACATTAACACAACGCTGAACTGCACTTTGAAAAATTTTGTACTCAACAACGCCGGGAAATTGATTTTGAAATTCTATGAAACATTCCTCAATAGAATACTTCCATATTCCATCAATCTTGCGTCCATTTCTAAAGTAGGACTCTATGATAAACACTTTTTGTTCTTGAGAAAACACCATTTTAAACGCTTTTTAAAACGAAAATATTCAAATTGATAGCGGCGATATAGCGCTTTGACAGATGACGTTTAAGTTCATTTGCTATACGCTACGCCCTACGTCCAAATTTTCAGAACCAACTTTTTATTTGAACGCTCGTTATATTTATATTTCTTTGATATCGCAATAAAATCACAAAAATTTTGGTCTTTACCATTTGTTGCTAAATAGAAAAGCAATGATAAGATAGGTAGAATGTTATGTGAGTGATCTTGTATAAAAAACGATTCATTTTGTAATTTGTGTTCCAAACATGGGCGCTTTTGGTAATAATTACATGGTAGTAGTATCCGTCCGCATTTGGAAAACATACGAGTAAATCAAATTATTAAAACATTTAAAATATTTTCAATGTGCCTCAAATGTAATTTGTATTAATTTAAATAATTTTGGGTATGATCTTACCGAACGCATATTTAATAATTACAAAGGAGCCCTCATCATAACAGGATAAGTTTCTTTTAACTAAACCCTTAGTAAAGCACATTTTTTTGAGGAAATACTTAAAACAATTCTTTAACAAATAATTTTATGGGAAACAATTATTACATAATATCAATGACTTTTAGCTAAAATGTGTGTTCTTAAAATACTTCAGATGTTTTGACGCTTCTTCTTAAAGTTGCCCAAATTTATCTAGGCAACTATTCCAACTTGTTTTAATTTATATTGTTGATACCACTGAACAGATTCTAGCAAACAAAACAAAAAGAATGAACTAATTTGATAATTTGCCCTCTACGTAGATACTATGACTAAATTAATGGTGTGGAGATGTATCAAAACTATAGCTGTCTAAATATAATAATGCCATGCGGCAAAGGTTAACCAGTTTCATCCGCCATCAAATTAAGAATCGACCTTATATTTTGTACCTATATGATTTGTCAAGTTCAACAACACAAATGAGTGGAACAAAACTTAAAATGTTTGTCCATGTGCTCTGAGAGTTTTTAGATATAAGCCTCTAAATTTTAAACGGATTTTTGTTAATGAGGAAATTTATGTCAGTTAGGCCAAGGTAGTTACTTATTATCTATATGCAAAAATTAGTAACTTATTCTTATTTATCTTTGTTAACAAACATTTAATGTAATGAATAAAGATCTATATTAAACGTACAGCAACCAATTATACATGCGTCCCAGAAGTAACGCAAAAAATTCGTATTTTATTTTGTGTTGAGTTTTCACAAAAATGCTAAAACACGTCAATTAGTAAATAGAAATTGTCGTTTTGTCACGTAGGTTTTTGCGCTAGTTTCTTAAAACTATGACGTCACCGACATTTTTTTTAAATAGCACTACCTAATTTGTTAAGCATAAATGGATAGCCCTTTTGAAGGGAAATGCCTCGATATAGGGTTTGGCCTACTTTACTTTGACAGGCGCGAAAAAAAAAGCCAACGATTGGAATGAATGAATGGTTTGAATTAATAACGAAAGTAGGTATCACCAACTTATGCGAGAACAGTGCTATAGCAAAAAATGTGTTTTGGTTGATTGTAGATTATGTAGATTGGGTAGATACACCCGATCACAGAAGGCCAATGACTGTGATAGAAAATGATATGCAAAATGTTATGTTTAGCTGTCACTGAAAATCCACACACTGCCGTTCGTGGTATCGCCGAAAATGCCAACATATCAATACATAAAAACGTACCTACAATCAACCAAAACACAAAACATCCACAAATTTCCATTTTTTTGCCGTGGCACTGTTCTCGCATCAGTTTATGATACCTACTTTTGTTGTTATTTTAAACCATGTCCATTCCAGTCATTGGCCTTTTTTTCGCTCTAGTCAAAGTAAAGTAGGTCAAACCCTATATCGACGTATTTCTCTTCAAAAGGACTATCCATTTATGCTTAAAAAATTAGATAGTGCTATTTAAAAAAATGTCGATGACGTCATAGGTTTGTGAAACATAGCGCAAAAAAGGTTTAAGCAACGTGACAAAATGACAATTCTTATTTACTAATTGACGTGTTTTAGCGTTTTTGTGAAAACGCAACACAAAATAAAATACGAATTTTTTGCGTTACTTCTGGGACACACTGTATAGGTAATATTAGAAGAAAGCATGTCAAAAAATTGCTCTACTACTTGTGTGTCACTGGTGGCATATTAAGTCTTAATCACTTATAAAACTGGCTGAAATAGAGAAAAGTTCAGTATTTTTAATTTATTAAATTTAACATTCATTCAATTTTAAAAAGTTTAAATATATTATCCCAAAAATTATATTTAGGCAGCAGTATCTACATATACGAGTTGCTAATCTATATCCATATTGTTCAGAAATATTAGTTCAATTAACTTTTAACTAACTTCTTAACTAGCCACTTACAGTTTTCATGATGTTAAGTTACGTATAAACAAACTTCAGTTTGTACATTTATGAAATGAAGTTACATATATAGTCGTCATTGGTTCTCCCTTCCCTTTATGCTAACATCTTCAAATCATCTTATTTCTAAATTGTCAAGGTAGTCTATAATTTTTAAATTCCGAATTTTTTGTTCATAAACTTGTCTGTATGGTGACTTTCTTATTTAATTAACTAATGCATTTTAATTTTCCAGAAATGTGTAAGAAATGGTTTTTGCACTTCACCAGTTGATGGAACAAAAAATTATTGTTTCATATGAACACATGGGTCTTCGTTCTTTTCGTTTTGGAAACATAGGGTGTTGAAATTATAAAAAATATTACATTTTCTGAAATATCTCTGAATATGTACAATATTAACTGAAACTTGGACCATCGATCGATAGAAGTAACAAATAGCCAAATGGACTTGCAAGTAGGCCCGACCAGTGACGTAGATTACGATGGCATTATATCAGTAGGAGAATCGGGATTTCGATACTAAAAAGTATTCTGAAAATTCCATTAGTACTTTTCAGAATAGGTACTTCTAAGGGAAAAATCTTGTCCGCCTTGTTTGAAAGACTGGTCGTTTAAGGAACCATTTTTTATATTTTAAAATGAGCTTACCACATAGTAAAATAACTAAGAAATGACACTAAAATTATTTACTGCACAGAAAAATTTATGTTAAGTATTCAAAACATTATTGGAGTAAATTTTTTTAATTTTCTTAAGCAAACATAATATACGTATATAGTATGCATTTAATATGGTTCCATCCGTTTAAAATATTAAGTAGCTATTATTTTTAGTACGTGTAGGAAAAATAGCCAACGAAATTCACCCACGTTTCGAAAAAATCCATCAAGTCTTCATAACACTCAACACAAGACAAAACACATTTTCTTTTGAAAATTTCGGGAATTTCCCCCCGCAAAGCAACAATTGCCCTCAGACGTACATATCAGACGCTACACTGTCCCGACCGCGCAGGAAGGCAACAAAAATTTCACCCACCTTTCGAAGATTTCCCGCCAAGCCGCCATAAAGCCGGCTGTATCAGACCACGCACGTCCTTCATCGCCCAGAAGCCGCCGAACCATGTTTCCAAAATCGGTGAAAATTAAGATGTCCGAAAAACCTAAAATTCGA